GTGGTTACCACTTAATTGCTCTCATTCACTTTCCCCATGTGATTGTATTTTCTTTCTATTCAAAGTTCAAGTCTAGTTTTGATCCTTCTTCATTTATATCCTTCTGGTCTGATCTACAAATCCCTGAGCTGTTGGGTGTAAAATTTCCACAGCTCATTTTTTTGATTGACCTTTTCTGCATTTTTTTTAAAAAAAATTACACTTCCTTTTTTAAAGTTCTGGATTTGACTGCATTCTGACAGAATCAGATTGAATTACCACTGGCATACTACCTACCAATATCTCACTTTTCACATCTGGAATCCAAGGATGAGAGTGAAAATGAATCTGTTCATTTTCCTAAGAGGCCCGTAAAGGGGGCGTGCATAAGCACACCATCGTGCCCACCGTCCCTGTCTTACTGTACCCATTTCATTCATACTCATCTTTATTCTTATACCTATTATCTTGCAAACAATTGACAAATCAAATAAAAAATAATTATAAATTATATCAATTTTACATCATATACAATATTCTCCCACAATGATAAACCAAAGCTTGCTTTATGGTGACTGATTTATATACAAAACAAGTTGTATATATCACAATTCAGAGTTTGCTAAACAAGGAATCGTGTCCTGAAGATTCACCAAAATCACCAGGGACAATTATCAGTGCCTTTTCAAAGGAGGCCCTCATTTCTGGAGTTCTGTAAACGAGTTACATATAAATTATGTGAAATCACAGCCGCCAATTCTTCAGCTGGTGTTGGTTTAATTCATTTAATTATTTAAATTATTATTATTACTATTCTTAGGTTTGAAATCTTACATTTTCTTGCTAGATTTTTTTCCCCTCGTTTCTGTTAACTTCAGGTCTAGGATGAAAAAAGTGAGTCTGGGAGTCATCCTGAATTCAGAAGGAGGATTTTCTGCAAGTTGGCGGTCGAGGGCAGCACGTCTCAAACCCGGGTTCAAAACCCCAAGCAGTGCAAAGCTGACCACTAACCAAGCCTCCGGGTCACATTCCTATGCGGAGCCTAAACGAAACGTGGGAAGCAAAGCAATCGGCGCCCCCCCAGCTCTGGCTTCGGCTCGCCATTCCCGAGCTAGTCGAGGCTGTCGCAGGCGGCTGATTGGATGGAGGCGGCGGTATCGCTCCACCCAGGGAAAAGGCTCGTCGCTGTGACCCGCCCCTCCCCGCCGGCTTTGGCAGCTTCTGCTCGCGGAGCGTGTTGGTGGCTCTCCGGAAAGCGAGCTCCGTCCTGGACGGCGCCCTGCCTTGAAGGAAGCGCGAGAGGGTCCCTGCCGTCAGGTCAGTGGGTAGTGGTGGCTTCCCTTCCTTTTCTCCCTTTCAATCCCTTTCCTTGAACAGGCGTTGCGGGGCGAGCTCGGGGAAAGGTCTTCGGAACGAATGACCTCCGGCAGCATCTCTCCCACCCTCCCTTTCAATCGCCGTCGCTTCCCGGAGTGGCCGAGAAAGGCGGCTAGCAATTCCACAGCATTTCTCCCCCCAGCGCGGGACCCTGATAGAATTCGTCCATTTCTTCCTTAGAACTTATTCTCAAGTGCAACCGGGATAGGAAATATATCCCAGGAGCCGTTGGATGCTATTTAATACTTACTTCGCCAAAATCAAATAAAATAGAATAAAAATGCTCCGGAATGTTCGGCGAGAGTCGATTCCTAATTCGGTGTGAAGAGAAGTGCAGCTTTTAGATGGGAAGTGAATTATTTCGTTTCGCTTTTGTCTCCATCCTTTTCTTTTCCCTGTTTTTTTTTAATTTTTTTTAAATAAAAGCAACGTGGAGAATTGAATTGAATTGAATTTATTAAATTTCTATGCCGCCCTTTTCCCCTAAGGGGACTCAGGGCGGTTCACAATCCAAGTCAAGGGAGGGGGTACAGATAAGGAATAAAAAAGACGAACATTGGCTGTGCCATATTTAACAGGATTTGAAATCCCGCTATTGCCCATCTTTCCACACACCTGCAAAAGCCATCTAAAGCATATTGATCCAGGTAGTCATTTTGATGTTAGCCGTCCCTCTAGTTCAGGACAGCATCTGGGTCCCAAAAAGCCAAGCTCCAGAGACAGCAGCCATACGATTTGCCCTCTGGCTGATGTCTAGAGGGCAAAGAGTTCTGCCAGGGATTTTTGTACCAACTGCAACATGCACATCATGTTAGGGAGCGGCGTGGAAATACAGTCGACTCTCCATTGCCATCTGTCTCTCTCACACACATGTACCAGCAATTCCAAAGCATCAGAATTGTTTTCCACAGCATGACCAATTTCTCACCAAATGAATTACTTGCAGTGGCTAAACAGATTTGGGCAGTGTATCTGTTAATATTATAGCCATTTCATTTCAAAGCTCAGGATGTAGTTTAGAGCTGGTCTGTCTTAGTTTCTCAGAAGCCACTCTACATTAATTAGCATACTTTTTAAAAAAAGATGAGTGAGGTGTTTACTTTTAGGAGTCTGTTGTTTTCTCTCATGTGTTGAGAGATATATGCATCCTTTGCAGTAGCATCCTATGCCCATCTAGGTGAAAATGTCTATTTCTTCTATTTAAAAAATTGTATTGGAATGAACAGTCCTTACGCTGAAATCCTGCAATCTCATACCTAAGATTTAGCATCCTTACACTTAGCTGCACCTATTGTAAAGCAGATATGTATAAAATTAAATTAGAAAAAAAAAACTTCATTTGGTAGCAGCGTGAGCTGCCTTATATTTAACTGCTGGATATTTTGTTAGGTGATTCATAAATAAATTTGGTCGTCCTCCAGTTGTGAAGGTTGTTTCACACATGGGCATCATCAGTGCTACAGCATGATCCTGCAGTTATCCAATGTTGAATATAGATGTGTGAACATCTCTTAGGGAGCCTAATTTCTAACAGTTAATTTTTAATTTTTATTTTCAATTATGTAATTAGGAGTACACTTGGGTAGTTAAAAAGAACCCAGAAAGAAGAATATAATGAATTTTAAAATAATATTTTTGATATCTCGAATCTCATTTAAGTTTCTTAAACATGCTTCATGTACTTACAAGGAATGGAGAGCATGAACTCTAAAAAAAGTTGCAGTGGAATGGAACAGTTGTCTTATTTCAGTATTTTTACATAGATCTAATCACATGTTAGAGTGTTATATAAATTATATTACATTATATAAATCAGGTTATTGTTTTAACTGCAGGTCATAATATAAGTAATATTGTTTAAAGTGTAAAAGCATTTGGATATTTATGCTTTTAGGCCAGATTTTGTCGTTCTCTATTATCAGCATTTTTGACAATGATATTAGATAAAATATCTTCCCCAAACTTAAAGTATCAGGTAGTATTTCCACCTTACTAAAAGCTATACTTAAAGTTCTCCTTGCTTTATCCTAAACAATATTTGTTTTTGAAGCTCAAATACTAATTAGATTGTAGTTGATATATAAGTATGGGTTTCCAGTGGCTGTGAATACCTGACAGGCTTGTTATAATTATAATGCATAACAGATTGCAAGATCAAAAATACTTTAGGAAACATTTGATTTAGCCTTCTGCTGCACTGATAAATATACTTTTTAATCATCATTATGGATATAGTATTCCTTTGTAGATTTTCAGTATTTGTATTTTAATTTTCTTAAACTTATTAAATTAGAATCTTATCGATTTAAGCCAATCATAAATTAGAAGATTCTGGCCTTCGCATCATAAATAATTCTGTTTCTACATTAAAAATGTATGTTGAAAAAGAAAAAGGAACCAACTAAGTAGTATTTAAAAATACTTCCCATTGCATTAATATGGTAGTATCTACCATTATTAAAAAGTTATCATTATTTTGGCTACTTGCTCACTTTTTCTTCTGTAATATATTTATATAGCTTCGGAGCTTAATCCAGCTGGCATTTCCAACCTACTTTGGAAGAAAATTGGCAGAAAGGAAGAGAAAAGTAAAAAATGGAATGTCATTTAAGATGTTTTCATTGCATTATGCCAGAAGCATTACTGCATTATTGTTTTCTAACAACAATAAGAGAATTTATGGAACATGTATCACTCTAGTGTCTGCATTGTGACAGGAAGGATCATGACATTTTCATTCTGTATAAGGAAAATCTTTATATTTCAGTTTTCTAGAAATAACTTCTCAGACTGCTTTTAGTATATTATGTATACTCTGCAGAATTGCAGAGTGGCTAAGCAAAGCTTCCCAGCAATTCTGGCGCAGCTGATTTGGTCTATTGAAACCTCATTTAGGTTTGTCCTCATAATAAGATCTTGATAAAGAACTCTAATTAGTCTAATTAAGCATCTATCCTTTTTCTATAAAGCATTTGTCTGCCATAATTTCTTGAGATTTAAAAGGTCAAAAGGTAATAGCAGGCAATAAAAGCAGTTTACAGTTGTTGGCTGTTATTGTACAAAGTGGCATAGAATAAATGGCTGTTAGTAGGAAAACTGCTTCCATACAAGCCAATTCTCTCATCAGTATACATTGTTCTGATTCTAAGCTAACTTGCAAATTAATGTCAACATTTTCAGTCAGTTACTATGCAAATAACCAAAAACATGACAAAAATGCCACACATTTCTCAAAGGAGCTGTCTAAGATTTTCATAAAGTTTTCCAAAAACAGCTAGTAGCAAGATCGTTAAGGGAATTTGTATACAGGTAAAGGAGTCCCTGCAGACTTTATTCCTCTAGTCGTTGCTGACTACAGGGGTCTGTGTTCATTTTCATTTCAAGGCCATTGAGTCAGCACTCTCGGAAGACATTTCTGCAGTCATGTAACCAGCATGACATCAGAGCACTGTTACCTTCCCACCAAAAGTGTACCTATTTATCTACTCATGTTTGTATGCTTTTGAACTGCTAGGTTGGCAGGAGCTGGAGCGAGGACAGGAGCTCACGCCATCGCATGGTGCTTGGGTCTCAAACCTGGGCTGCCGGCTTTCAGGCCAACAAGCCAGGGTCTTAACTACTGAGCCACCACGCTGCTGTTTGTATAATGATTAAAGGATAATTTTTAGTTGCATAGAAATCACAGGAAAGAAAGTCAGCACTGAATTGCTGTAGATAGCGGTCCCATGAGCATTTCTAGAGGTGGAATCAGTGTATTGGAGCTGGAGCATGGACACTTCATGGTTGAATGAATGCTTCATGTAACTCATAATGTTTGTATGGTGTGGAATTAACATGTTATGAAAAGCCAGCTATCATGTTTTCTTTCAGGGAAACATAATTAAGAAAATAATGGCTTAGCATGGCATAAAGGCCCCGACAAACAGGAGACAAAATCTGAATCAATCTTGGTGGCTATAAGGAGGAGAAATTTGGGGACGGGTATGGACGGATTAGCAGACTTGAGAGATAATAGAGATAGATAGGCCCAATCTTTGAAGCTGCCAAGACCGCTTATTTCAATTTTCCCTTGGGACTTTACAGTTATAGTGCATTCAGCATTCCAGATATTTAAATAGTATGGTGGTTAACATATTTATGGTCTCCAGCTTTTGCTGTCTGGTGATGTAAACTTTTTTACAAGAGGAGGAACCCATTATGGGACTCTGGCCAACAATGGAGTTGATTTGAAATCATTGATCCATCTGTATCATTGAAGATAAAGGTGGTCTCTACACTGTAGAACTAACACTCTCAGCTTAGGCTAGTAAGATGGGCAGGAAATACTTTTCTTAAGCTATCCATTTTCTGATGCTCATTTAAGTTACTGTAATACACTATCCTTTGACATTTTGGTTACATTCCAAGTACAACTGTAAGATTAATTTCTTTCTCTGCAGGCCCCAATCGTCATATGATTTAGAAGCTTTTTCTGGGTATTTTTACCAAATGAATATGACACTATTGCAGGAGAAAAGCTTGTTGTTGTTGTTGTTGTTATTGTCATTGTCATAGTAGTAGTAGTAGTAGTAGTAGTAGTAGTAGTAGTAGTAGTAGTAGTAGTAGTGGTGGTGGTGGTGGTGGTGCTGTCCCAGCTATCAAATGTCCTCTTTAAATGCCTGCCTCTTGGCATCAAATGAAGATCAGTTCATTTTCTCAGCTTGTTGAATTGTTTCAGCTTTCAGCTAGTTTTACTGTGTGATTTGTGTCTTTAGGCTGCACAGCAGAGGCCAAGGTTCAACTTTTGATGTCTCCAGGCAGCCTGGAGAAATGCATCTCTGAAATCATGCAGAGCTACTGGCATTGTGTCATCGGAACTGGACTAGATGGAAGAATGGTTTAACTCAATAAAAGAGCTTCCCTGACATTTCATCTTCTTTATTGCCTTCTTAAAACACATGTACTTTTATTTAAACATTCAACTTCATTAAATGTGCATTTTGCGCTTGTTAAATATTTTTCCTTTGTATATGTCTCTTCAAATGTTACATTATTGAATTATTAGTTGCATTAGCAGTCCTTAATATTTTTATAATGCCTTAAATGTCATATAGTAGCCCAGCAATCTTCTGGATAAATCCAAAATATCTGCATTTTATACTGCAGGAAGAAAAAATTATAGTCTCTGTTAGGAAGGTGCCAGAATTATTTACGATGCATTTTGTGCCACCGGTGAATATGATATCTGAATGCTTCATCACGTGTCAAATTATATGCAACCACTCCATGCCAGTCTGAACATTCAGAATGACACAGTTTCAATCTTGCAATAAGACAGAATCATTGAGTTGGAAAGGACCATGAAGGCATACTAACTTTCCTTTCACATGTACTAAATTCCAAATAAAATGCATTTTTGTGTTGCTGGTCCAAAGAGATTTACTTTTATTCTTTACTACAGATAGTTCTTGATGAGGAGTGTTTGTTAAGAGATTTACATTAAGTTATTAAGTGTTGTTGGCTTCCAGTTGCTAAGTGAGCACATGATTTCATGACCTTTTTTGCCACATTTGTTAAGAGACTCACTGTGGCCATTCAGGAGACATCATGTGACTGTGACTTGCAATCTTTCCTGCCAGTTTCCCTATTGACTGTCAGAGGTATCTTATCCAACCTTTGACAAATTGTAGGTATTCTCAGTAATTTTGATTTGGGTTTGCTCTCCAACATTATCCAACTGCTTTTCATAGTCTTCTGCTAAAACAGTTCTATACATTTCATTTTAACTAGAGTGAATGAACGATTTTTTATCCCAAAGTATGTTGCTGCATGGTTTTGATTTTGTTTTTCATTTTGTATTCCAGGACCAGCTCATGTAATCGTTCAGGCAATTGTTGTCTCAGCTGTGATTGAAAACTGCCATGCTGCTTGCAATGTTGGAAACAAATATTCAAATGCAGTGTAGCATGTGAAAAGAATTTGTTAAAGAGACTTATAGGGCATGAAGAAGAAAAGAAGCAAAAGGGAAGAATTTACATTAGTTTCATATAGTGACAATGATGCACACATTCATTCTTATTGAATTTCATTGGTTGAAAATAGAAACAATGAAGTGAAAACTGGAAGTGGTTTGGGAAATGATTTGAAGCATCTGGAGAATAGATTCCGTGTATATTGCGTGCATGGTGAATTGTAGCTTTCTATTACATGAAGTGAGGCTTCCATAATTAAACTTGAAAGTATCATCAGTTTCCAGTTCTAAAATAGAGGGTGTAGTTGAGTACCATTTTCTTTATTTTTTTTGGAATGGTACTCTGCACTAATAAATGCAATTATCCAGACAGTTCGATATGAATGATGTATTATGCAGTAGCTCTTGTTACATCAGATATTTTTCTTTATTACATTTGGGCCAATTTTAGGGTTAAGTGATTCCAAGACAAAAGGGATAAAAGCGTTATAATGAGGGATTCAAATCCAGCCCCAGAGAATTGTTATCTGATTCTAAATATGTTTACAGCACAAAACATTGCAGCTTACAGGGATACTACCAGGAAATTTGGGAGAAAAATCTATAGGCTTATTTATGAGTTGATCTTCCCTAACTCAAATATAGTCATTTCATATAAGATATGCCTATATCTTGGCAAATTTAAGGTGTATGGAATTCAATTCCCAGAATTCCCTAGCCAGCATCAAGAACCACACATCTTAAAGTTGCCAAGTTGAAAAATACTAGTTGATGTCCATTGTACCTCTAATTCTCGCTCTAGGATCTGCCTTAGATTTTTCAACAGAATTTCCAGGCTTATAAACCTGTCAAGAATCTGTTGCTTTACACATATTGAACTTCAGCATATCATTCTCAGATAACTTGTTTACTTATCAGTCTGCCCGGGAGTATTGAGATTTGCACTCTGCAGTAAAGCTATAATAATATTTACATTATTGACATTAGTAACATTTATGCTTCAATGTGACTTGAAAAATTATCTCCCATATCTTAATGGATATTCACAATCAAGCAGTTTTGGAGTATGTGCTACATACGTATCACCAATTTTCCTTTATTGTGAATATTGCTTTTTGTTTTCATTACAGTAAAATCAAAAGTTGTCCTTAATTTTCATTAAAGATGCATGAATTTATAGCTTTTATTTATTGAATACTTGAAAATTGCTAGAAGGATAAATATATACATTGCTCAAAACTCAGGCAGAGACTCTCTTCATCTGTCTTGCTAAATTCCCAAAGTTAATTAAAAATTTATAGTAGCTGTTGTGCAAATTCTGCAAATGTCAATCAGGCCACTGGCGCTTCTTACACAGAGAAGTTAAAAACTTATGTAAAACTCAAATAGTCACTGTTCCTTTCTGAATTTAATAAGTTAGAAAGAAACCAAGGAATTTTATTTCCTGTAATTGTAAAACCAGGGACTGTAAGGAATCATTTAGACTAATGTTCAGTTCTTGGTTGTATGCCAGAACAGATGGCTGGCTAGATTTTTCTGAAATATAACCAATGAAATAGATCCCGCCACCTCATTGGAAAGTCTGTTCTGTATTAACTGTTTAAAGATGGTCTATGTAATTTGGGATCTACTAAACATTAGCCAGCAAAAGCCAACCCAAAGATGCTTTTTCGGAAGGCAACTGGACTCTCTCTTTTTTTATTTTGAAGACATTTTTCTTTTGATGAAAAAACAAGCAAGAAAAGTCCAGTTGCCTCCCGAAAAAGCATCTTTGGGACAACCATGACTTGGATGACTGAGAATCTCTACAGATATTGAATTGGCAAATGCTAATCTGCTTAGAGAAAATGCCACTGCTGGGATTGCTAGACTTATCTTATGCAGTACAAAATCATATAGCTTGGAGTGTTCCTAGATTCACTACTTAATTTGTTTATTTGTTTGTTTTTCAAAAGTTTATCCTGGAGGACCAAGGTTATTTGGTATTAATGCAGATTTGCTCCAAAATGCAATTAAGCAGTTTTAACAGTTAGAAAAAAGGATGAAAGTATTAGAATACTTTTGTTGATGTGAGAAATACTGATAGAATTCTCCAGTAGATTCATCAGATTTTAGTCTGATCCTGATTGGAAGGGGATAGGGCAAGACTTGATGGTATAGCAAATTACTTGCACTGAGAACTTCTTTTCCAGGCAAAGTGCTAAATTGTACTGCATTTTAGTACACAATTTGTGGACAGGCTTTGCAAATCAGTAAGTTGTGTTTTCACAGAGACAGGTGGATAAATAGAGAGAATCAAATTATGCAGATAGGAATGAGTGAGACTGAAAATGTAAGATAATTTATGTCACTGTGCAGACAAGGTTATCTGAATGAATATCCAATTTATTGCAGTAGTAGAAGAGTGACATGATCCCATCAGATCCTTATTTCAGATTTTCATATCTGGGTCATATCTAACTTTTAAATGCTATTTATCCTCTTTAGATACATTAAAGAAAAAATTCAGTTTCGCCTGCATTCTTTGAATATGTTTGCTCAATTATGCCTTAATATATATGGTAGGTATTCAAATATATGTAATTCAAAGAATGGTTGCATATAAATGTTTCAGTTAGCTTCTTAGGTTATTGCAAAGAGAAAGCTGCCACTTAAAAACAAAATAAGGCTTTATTTTTATTGCACTGTCAACTCATTTCATATTTTGTGGATAAGATTTATCAGTGTAGTATAAAAAGAAAATAAAGCAAAACATTACCAAGTATATGTGAAGTAGTATCAACTAGTATAACACAATGAGAAATATTGTATTGCTTTGTTTCAATTGTTGATTGGAAAATTGGATAAACAAATAGAAACAGATACAGGGGCAATAGGCCATTATCCAGCCAATTCTGAATTACATATGTAAACCATTGATACCATATCCCTACTTACGTTCCAAATGCAATGTTTCCCACGCCTGCTGTTTTAGATAATCAACAATCTTTAATTAGCTTAAACTACTGTTTGCTATTAGGAACATTCAGCTGCAATCTGTAGAATAAATCATTCTCTATATTATACTCTGAAGTCTTAATTTTCTTTTGTGTTTACATCCTTCCAGTATTTGAAGAGATCATAAGCTTCTTTCAGTTTTGTTTCTTCAGTGTGAAATAGGCCCAGATCTTTCAACTTACATTACATTAAAATCAAATATTGCTTTGTTTGAATAAAGTTAATACAGTAATTAAAATAATACTATTGAATAAACAATAAAAGCAGCAGCCAGAGAAATTAAAAAGTTGCTAGGCAAATATGCATTTTTAAAATAAACATGTAAATATAGTATCAGGCTTGGATGAACATGAATAATTTTACCTAGCACCTCACTAAGAACAGCATTTTATAGTGGTGGAATAATGATGGAATGGTATGTCACATTTGCTCCCCAACTGTATCCATACCATGTTTAAATGTCTTTTGCATTGTCTCCAGTAAGATTTCTCTACTTTGTAGCTTACTATTCTTTTCTGTTTTGCACACTTGTGCTTAAATAAAGTTATTTGCAGTATATTCTCTCTTTTCCCTGAAAAGCAGTACAAGTGGTCCCTTGTTAATGACACAATTGGGACCGGAGTTTCTGTTACTAAGTTACAGGGACATAAAGCATGATGTCATGTGATTGTGTCACTTTGCCACAAAACTTTTGGTGCTATTTGCCATTGTTAGGTGAATGCCATGCTGTCATTAAGCAATGATGTAGTTGTCATCATTTCTGCCAACTTCCCCACTGATTTTGCTTGTAGGAACCTGGCAAAGGAGATCACAAATGGTGATCTCATGACCATGGGACACTACAACCGACGAAAGTGTGAGGTCTGGTCATAAGTACCACTCACCATTATAAGTTCAAACAGTTGCTAAGTGAGGCACAATTGTAAATTATCCTATAAGAGCAGCAGATTACAATAGCTATACTCTCCTCAAGTCCCAAAACATACAAAACTATTAGGATTTTTAAGTGAATGTTTTTTTGTCTCACTGAATGCATAGTTTCAATGAAAATTAGCCCAATGAAAATTTGGCATATTATTATCACTTCTTGTTAAGCATCACATGCTTTTTAAAAACCAGTACAGAGTATTTAAAGAAACCAAAGAGAAGTGTAATTAAAAACACAATGAAAAGCATTCTAAACACTCCAACCCAAACTTAACTATAAAAGACCACAAAGAAAGCCAACATTTCATCAACTTTAGCAGCAAGAGACCAGTTACATATGAAACCTTTGCTTAAATTAAAGTGTTTACACTTAGAGGATTAAGACACCCACTACATAAAAGCAAAAGGTTCTATACTGCATTTAGTGCTTATAGATCAGCCATCTATTTCCATGCAGATTATCTCCATGAAAACAACTCTGGGAAGAAGAAGAAATGAGTTCTTACTTGGGGTTATACCAAAGCAAAAGACATTCAAAGTTATTTTTTGTGTTTTCTAAGTGATATTAATTTGATAAGGTCCTGTTAATCCTTGTGGTCAATGGGTCTGTCCATTTCCTTTAAGTATCTCTCTCAACCGGAGATGATATTTCTATCATTCTAATATGATTCTATCTATATTTCTATCATTCAAACATGATTTTGCTCTTCAAATCTTTGTCTACAACTCTCATCATCAAGTTGTAGACAAAGATTTGAAGAGCAAAATCATGTTTGGAACAAGAATAAATAATGTAGCTTCCAAATCATAAACCTACGCATTGAATTACTATTTGATTAATCAAAAAGGCAATTCTCAAATATCTCAGAAAATTCAAAGAAATGTGCTATTTGATTTGTAGTTCTATATTTACATTTAACAAAAAAACTACCAGATCAGTACTAAATAATAGCATTATAGAAATCCATTTACCATGGGTTAATTGCAAGATATACAGCAGTATGCACAGCTCAGATTCTCAATCTTTATTATCTACTAAATTACTTCCATGGTTGTAAATGTAAAATATGTACTCAAAATATCCATGCCTGTTTTTTTTCATTGTAATCTACAGGAAATATATTTTATATATAACAATATATAATGTCAAAATAATATTTAATGAAACTGTCAACAGAAATTAATATTTAAATGCTACTGCTTCATTGTCTTTTTCAATTTTTATCTCTTTACAGCACCAAGACATAAGATGCTGTTGCAATTGCTAGAAGGATTTAATCACTACTAAAATGGTTCAAGATGGCACAGGTTTTACAGAATTTTTTTTGACTATTAAGTCTTTTCCATTGTGTCACTAAACACACATATTAATCAATAATATTTTTTAAAAAATGTCAGAACTCAACTCCACATCTGGATTGATAGCAAATATTGAAAATGGAACTTTTTTAGAGCTGTACCCCACCTCCCTCTCAACATCCATGGATTCACCTTCCAATCGAATGTCAAACGTCTATGTTTATGTTTCAATCTTCCTTAGCCTCCTGGCATTCCTTCTTTTGCTGTTAATTATTGCACTTCAGAGATTGAAAAACATCATCTCCTCTAGCTCCTCCTATCCAGAATACACCAGTGATGCTGGCAGTTCCTTTACAAATTTAGAAGTCTGTAGCATTTCTTCCCAGAGATCAGCTTTTTCAAACCTTTCATCCTGAGAAGCCAAGGAAGGAAATCTATTGTCCGTGGAATAGCATCTTAGTCCAGGTCTTCAACATGGTCGGAAGACTAAGGCATGCAAGATTTGTCAGAGAAGAGATGATATCTGAACTTTTCCACTTACGGTCACATATTGAGTTATGCCTCTAATAGTCTTGGAATTTTGTAGTGTTTCTTCCAGCCCCATCTGAAGATAATGAAAAGTACATTCTTTCTCAAGTCAATCTGCTCCTTAAGTGATTATAAGAAAACAGCTGTTATTTCCTCAATAACATTAGAAAAACTGTTTGCCTTTGACCTGTTCCAAGATTTCTTTTCGACTTCCCAGCCCAGCTTATGATTCTGAGATCTTTGGTGGTCTCTCATCAAAGTACTACCCAGGTTAAATGCTACTTAGAATTTCAAGATTATCCAAGTTTTAAAGGTGCTACCACCTGCTTTAAAGGAGATACAGCTATTTAAACTGTACATGGGAATATCTGGTTTCCTGCTTCTGTTTACCGATCTCAAAGCTCAAGGATGTTTAATTGTATTCCATTGCAAGACCATTCTGCTACACAAGCAAGGCAATTTTCCTGTAAATGTGAAACAAAGAAAGAAAGCTAGTATAAAATTTAGCTAATAATCATATTCCTGTAATTTTCCCTACACTGCCTGATCTTTATATTTTAGTCAAACAATTATAATTAATGTATGTACTAATCACTTCAGACTTACTGCATTTGTTGGATTTGTAGAATTACATACTTTTCTAGATTATGAATCCCCAATGTAATATCCTTTTCAATAAATTCTGTGATTATCTGATTAATTTTATTTTCAAAAAAGAAAGAAAGAAAGAAAAAGGTAGGGAAGGGAAGCTAACCTAATGTGAAACTGATATTTCCAACAATATCCCAGACAGTGGTCCTGCAGAAAGATGTTTAAAAAAAGTGAACAGTATGGCTATACCATGTCAGTATAGGTAGTCCTTGACTTACGACCACAATTGGGACCAGAATTTGTTGCTATGCAAGGCAGTTGTTAAGTGAGTTACACTGACCTTTTTCTCAATTGTTAATTGAACCACTGCAGCTTTAAGTGAATCATTAAGTGTATCCAGCTCTCCCCGTCGACTTTGCTTTTCAGAAGCTTGCTGGGAAGGGTGCAAATTGTGAACCTGGGATACTGCAACTGTCAAATGTTTGCAAATTCTGATCATTGTGCTACAATAGTTGTAAGTGTGAATACTGGTCATAAGCCACTTTTTTCAATGCTGTTGCAACTTCAAACAGTTGCTAAATGAATGGCCATAAGTCAAGGACTACCTGTAGACTGTGCCAAATACATGATGTACATTAAAAGGGGCAGGGCTTTGATAACATGATTGCGGCTATTTTGACTTTTTAAAATTTCCTCCCTTCCTCCCGCCATGTAGATATCTGGCCACAATAAATAAATATATTTGATGTAAAATTTAAAAATGCAACTTCCAACGAATTTTGAATTGAAGCACTTTTATCAGAAAAAAACTTACAGGTAGGCAGGCTAAAACTCATGAATGATTGTGAACAATTATTATTTATTAAAGAATTTTTTGTTGAAATTTCAAACTTCCTTTGTGTTTGTTATATACGAGGTGTCATGAAGGATATGCTTTGGAATAGGCCAAGACAAAAGGTTTACTTTTACATCTATGCACTATTACTCCGAGTATAATTTTACCTTCCTAAATGGACAAGGACAAGCTGGGACTTCTTTGTGTGTGTTTTTTGCGTTTGTGTTTTCTGAGCCCACTTCCCAAATATGTGCACTTTCCAGAATTCTCAGCAAAGATGATGCTGACTGGGGAATTATAGGTCTGGAGGACAGCCAGGTTGGGAATGGTGAACTATACAATATCTTAAGGTAGGTGTTTCTAGTTGGGTTCAAAATTGGTCAAGTATCGAGTGTGTTGTTGTTACATCACAGCACTCCCTTCCCATGACTTAAGTATTTGCACTCAGTGTTGATGTATATGTCTAAAAGGCCAAGGTCTGCATCTTCTTCTTCTTTAATTAAAATTTATATTGGATGCCTAGGATTCTAAGGTGAGTGGCAAGGATGGTAAGGAAGTTCTGGAGGAACAATTGAAAAATCTGGGTATATTTGATTGGAGAAAATAAGAAGAAAGAAGCCTGAAAGTTCTTGTAAATATCTTTATGTGAAGGACTATAAAAAAAATGGAAACTCGCTGTTCTTTGTTGCTTCTGCAAGCAGAGCAGCAGTTGGATTGCTTCACTGAGCAGGATGTAACCTGCAGAGAAGCAGACTTTGCTGAACGTTCAGAAAAGCTACGGTATCTAATAAAAAGAGCCATCCAAGAACAAAGCATATTTCTTATATTGAGACATTTAAGCATAGATTGAACTAATTGGAACATCATTTCCCCACTCACCCCCATCAGACTTGACCTAGCCCTGCTGACCTTTTGCAAGGCATTAAAATTTTGGTTTTGCCATCATTGCCATCAAGCCTGGGGCTCTAATACTATGGGCGAGCCCATTTTGTAGTTATTTGGATTGTGCAATGTTACAACTGTTCTCTGCTGCTATTTTATGCTATTTATATTTGCTTATCACTTTAATTATTTTTACTGATTTTTGTTCTGTTTTAATTGTTAGCTACCCAGTCATTTATATGACATGGCCATCCATATAAATTAAAGAAATAACTTGAGAACCTCATTTAGAATCTGGATGAAAATCCTAATGAAGATGCTTCAAAGATTTAAAAATAATTTTTGTATCTTAATTTATACTCTACATTCAGACACTGCTATATATGCTAACACTATACAAAATGCTTTGGGATATTTCATTAGAAATTTTTTTCATTAAGAATGAATGTACAAAATGCTTTGGGATATTTCATTAGAAATTTTTTTCATTAAGAATGAATGTATTAATTCCAGTCTCTTAAATATTCCAACTGAAATTTTATGTATTAAAAATAAACAATATGTTAATGATTTCCACGTTTTTTTTTAATTTCATAAACTGAAAATACTTTCTTGGTCAAAAATGAAACAGCCAGTTTCATTTGTAAGGAAGAAAATTATAGAGAGAAGTTAAACAATGAAAAGAACAACACTGGTAGCATTTAAAAGTAAGATTGAATTTCCTATAATCGGTTTTCTACTCCTTATTAGGAAAATTCAAAAGCAGCAGATGTTGCTTAATTTGTTTACAAGAAAACAAAAAACATTTATTGAGGATAATTGTACCTCCTAATTCAATATAAAGGAAAGAAAGAAGACTGAGAAAAGGAGCAAGCATTTAAACCTTCATGGCTCATACACCCTTGCAGAGCTCAAGACCTAAGTATCTTCAAATATTTTTCTCCAAATTGTTCCTGCTGTCAAACCAAAGGATGTTATCAGGAACTTCAGAAGTCAGTCTTTTTAATCAATGCCCTTCTTTGGAACTTTGTCATCCTGATATCTGTATGATTCCAGCTCTTACACGCATTCTATGCTTTATGGTATTTATTTTTAATTGAATTCTGTTATTCTTGGTGTAGAAATGGAATCAGTGGTGGGTTCCTACCAGTTCAGACCGGTTCAGCCAAACCGGTAGTGGTTTGGAGGCCTGGGTCACTGGAACTGGCAGCGACCCAGGCCTGCCACGCCCCCAAACTGGTTCTCCAGGTGGTGCCATAGGCAACGCCATCTTGTTTTTTGGTTCTCGCATGTGCAGAACAATTTTCATTGCACTGCGCATGCGCACATAACATACGGCACACACAGGAGAACCGGAAGTAGTGCCTGCAGGAACCCACCTCTGAGTGGGATGTTAACTGAGTGATGTCTACATTTTTAACCTTGCTATCAGAATGAGAAATGCTCTGAAACGGGAGAATTAACTGAGAAAATAAATAAAATAAAATAATTGACCATAAGAAAAGTCTTCCTATTCGCATCTCCCAAAGACCAAGAAGTCCTTTGGTTAATTGTCCTTCCACTATTACCTATACCATGCATGTCAAATTTGCCGCATCACATGACATATCATGACTTTTTTTCTCTCCGCGGAGCTGGGTAGGGGTTACCTGCTCATGATGCATCTGGCTGGCAGGCCGCCAGCTTGACACCCCTATCCTACACTAGCTTTCTACTTCTGAGTCCAATTTTCACAAGGACAAAGCAAATATATTAACCTGGTTTAATCAATTTTAATTTAAAATTATAAAATACCTTGAAGACTAACTACTGCCATTCTCTGCATAAGACAGCATGCTACATCATGACAAATGCTATTTAATAGCTTTGCAAAACCAGAAATATTTAAAAAAACATTCTTTTCTGGTGCTAAAAGTTTTACTACTTAGTTGGCAGGTATTTCTAAATTGTAGTATAGATTTGCTTCTCTGTCTGATGGTTCTATCCTGTTATTTGGGCAAGAGTAAACATATTAATTGTTAACATTCTTCTACTATTTTCTTTCACTTTGTATGACTTTGTGCCTTGACCTTGGTTATGTAGCTCTCTGTCTATTGCCTACAAATATTGTACTTTCCTTTAGGCTCAACTAACTCCTCAGAGAACTGTTGATGCAGCTGCACTTGTTTAACTGTCATTTTCACTTTTCATTGGAACAGTTTGAGATTATGCTTATACCATTTCACTGTCCCCAATTTGCCCTTTCTCTTGAACTTTTTTCTTCCCTTGAATTTTTAAATGATTTTTCTTTGAATTCCTTGAAATGGAATTTCTTTCTCAAAGTCCATCAAACGTTATCTTTCTCGTAACTCTTAAACAATCTCTGTCTGGATTAGAGAAGAAAAGAGGCAAAGAGGTAGTAAGGACAAGAAGAGCAGCAGGTCTAATGGACTGAAAGCCATGCCTCTACTTTGAAGAAGGCAGTGCTGGTACTAATGTCTAACTTGCCAGTTTGGCTTGAGCCAACCCAAATAATTCTATGTTCTCGCTTACATATTTTGAAGCCCTTTCAGTATATGTTGACAATCAAATAAATCCTGATTTATATCACACCTTGCACAAGTGTCTTTCTCTGACTAGGTGCTACCATTATTATATTCCAAACTGTTAGTTCTGTGTTTTGGGAGTTAGTCCTATTCTAGCAAGGGTTTCTGTGTGTTGGTGTCTTTGAACCAGAGTTGACTCTTGATGGATGCTTAGACTACAGCTCTCTTAGTAAAATTTTCAGAAGTGGTTTGCCACTGTCTTTTAAGAGAGACTGAAAGAGCCAAACATCATCTAATAGAATATAATTCTTTATTGGCCAAGTGTGATTAGACACATAAGGAATTTGTCTCTGGTGCATAAGCTCTCAGTGTACATATAAGCAACAAGTGATAAATCATGATGATAATCATAAAACACTTCATAAATCAAAAGATACAACACTCAGTGTTAGATAGGGATCTAGCTAGTGTTTTACTTAAGAATGGAGTAGCATTCACAGTTTCCTGGTTTCTAGCCTGTGTCTATATCAAACTAGCTTTCAGCAGTTCTTTGGAAAGTATGAAGTATGTATGAAAATGAGCCTTTTCATACTCCTGCTGCTCTAAGGGTATGCTCTGCTTCTTTTCTGTGAAACTCTATAATCATATTTTTTTATTTTCAACTGCTGCAAGGTTAGTCAGCTCCCCCAAATCTTGTCAGAGGAAGCAACATATGGCAAATGAAATTCTATCAAAATTTGCAGGAAATACAAATGTTTTTGTCTCTATTTACAAATGTCATGATTTCCCTCATGCATTGCTTCTCATTTATATTTAGTGAAGCTGAAATAACAGTTGTTCTCCTGCAGATCTAAAAAAAATGTCACTAGTGCTATCAAAACAATTATTCTGGCCTCTAGATCCTGTAGATTCTCTCCAGACAATCTGCCCCTAATCAGGTCTTTGAGGTCATCCAGAAACACTGAAGTAAGTCCACCACTTGCGCTGCTGTTCAACCACTTCTCTTTCCTTTTATATTATTTGCATTTAATTACATTCTTATTCAAGAAAGCCTTATGTCAGGGTATTGATAACATTATACCCCAATAACAGATGTCCATTATAAAAGATTCAATAAAGGATCCCTATGGAAGTTCATTATTTAACATAAGGAATGTTAAAAAGACATCTTAATATGTTTTCTTGAATTATATAGAGTGCAACCCTTCTACTTTGAGAAGCCCAAGAATGCTTGTTCTATCTCTTC